GCAGCAGGACCATGTGGAATCCCACCAGAAGCACTGGGAGCAGACGCAGAGATAACAGCGGACATGCTCACACCACTATTGCAGAGAATTTGCAAGGAAGGAATGGAATGTACCTGGCGATTGGAAGAAGGGCTACCTTGTCAAATTCGCGAATAAGGGCGACCTAAGTCTTTGCAAGAACTGGCGTGGAATCATGCTGCTGTCCACCCCAAGCAAAGTATTAAGCCGCATCATCGTGGAGAGACTAAAGGATGCACTGGATTCAAAACTACTACCGGAACAGGCTGGCTGGCTAGCTGGCTGGATTCAGGAAGTACAAATCATGTGAGGATCAGATTGCAACGCTTTGCATCATCATAGAACAGAGTATAGAATGGCAGTCAACCATCTACCTCAACTTCATCGACTTTGAGAAGGCCTTTGACAGCGTCGACCGAGAGGTAATTTGGAAACTGCTGCTTCAACACTACTGAACACCACAAACCCTTATCAATCTCATTCAACAACTATATGAAGACTCCACATACCGAGAAATTCACAATGGGAAGCTCAGTGATGCTTTCGAAGTGAAGACAGGAGTGAAACAAGGCTGTCTACTATCACCATCCATGATATTCCTGATTGTAGTGGACTGGATCATGCAACAGACAGTGAGGAATGAGAAGAGGGTGATTCTGGGGACCTGGGAAAAGAACGCAGAAGATTTGGATTTCGTCGATGACTTGTGTCTAATGTATTGTGGCACAAACTTGAAGACCTACAGGCGGAAACTAACAAGTTGACAGAAGAGACAGGGCAGTGAAGGGAGATGGGACTTCAAGTGAACAAAGAGAAGAAGGAGGTGATGAAAATACCCAACCAACGCCACCACCACCAACAACAACAAGTTCCAATCACCATCAACTGGAGAAACTTACAGGAAGTAGCCTCTTTCATTCACCTACCTCTCCACCTAGGCAGCATCGTTTCAACTTCAGGTGGCACAGGCACAGATGAGGATGTCAGAAGAAGCCAGGATCGGAAAGACGGTAAGAGAGGCTTTCAATAATCTGAAATCAGTGTGGAGATACTCTGCACTCAGCATAAAGCGTGACTAATGTGAGGATTTTTAACACCAGTGTCAAGTCAGTCCATCTATATGGTGGTTGAGAGACTTGGCAGCTCGTTACGAAAGCATTTCCAACAAACTACACATATTCATCAACAACTGTCACCTACACTGACTGGCTCAATACTGAAGCTCAGATCAGATGGCCATAATGATGGTAATAAGCGAGAAGCAAGTCTGTCTGTTAACGAACCAACTACGAACCTATCACTCAACAAATGTGCAGCAGAAGGAGGTGTAGATGGATTGGATTGGGCATGTACTGGGAAGACCATTTCGGGGACATCACGTGTCAGGCCAGGTGCTCGAGTGGAACCCAGATGGGAAACGACGAGTTGGGCATGGAGGTGAGGGTGACATGGAGGAGATCGTGCGAGGAAGAAATGCAAGGTTGTGGGCTGTCGTGGAAGCAGGTTCAAAAGTTTTCAGAGAACAGAGTGTACTAGACACGTGCTACTGAAACGCTTGTTCCATTAGGAACCCAAGGGACAAATAATACTAATAATTATAATCCTGAAGTCAATGTACTATGAAGTTTACACTATAGATTTCCACTGTTATTTTAGCTTTCTGTTTAGTCTTCCTATATGACCTCTACATTTTCTCACCCTTTATTTATCACTTCATTTTATAACCTTTCATACGTGAGCGATGAGACTGCTGTAAATGTCTTGGGTAACAGTACACGATTCAGACAACTGAACAACCATACTTTCTTACCGTGCGAAACGTTGGAACTATTTGATTTCAAACCCGCTGTAACTAACACAGTTACAGTCTATGTATTATATTGACACTACTGACCGCCTTGCTAGCGCACTGAGAACAACTGACTCTGACATTTGCATGTACATGGATATTTTCTTTTGATTGGTTGGTTCAATTATATGACTCATTCAATTGCCAAATGGAGGTGATTTGTGACCATGTGACATAGTAGTGAATCAACAGGTCAGCTGACATTTCATTTTCCGTAGCAAACAGGTAGCCAACGTTTGTTATTTTTACTATCTGAGGTAGCAGCCGCGGTTTGACAGACTAGCATTGCTACTAGGTTATGGTTGAAGGTGAAATGAAAATCTGGACTTCTGCGGGATTCGAACCAGTGACCACCGGTCAGCAGTAGGTCCTCTTAGCCCAGTTGTTAGACCACTGGGCTGGAAACCCGATGGTCGGTGGTTCGAATCCGGTCTTAGTCCGAATTTTCATTTCATCTTCAATCATCAGTCAGTCTATTGTTTTTCCTTGATTTTATATTCATGGATTTTGAAGTACAGCCAATTAGTCCCAGCTAGCATTTACTTGGGGCGCACTTGGTAGCATTCGGGCAAAAACCCTATAATTTTACTTTGGGCGCATTTAGGGCGACGCACGAAATCCCCCGAATGTTCCAAACCTTTTCCCCGAAAGTGTCAAAAGTCCCAAAGTGCTCCCGAAGTAAGTGCTAGCTGGGTTGTTTGTGATGTATGTATCGAGGCATCCTCACAGGAGCCCATATGCCAGCAGAGACTGGTCAATTTTGTCCAATCTACGACGGTATAATACAAGCAATAACACTAATTCTATTTTCCGTTTATTGAGTGGCTTTAATATCACATTCAGCTTGTGTTACATATAGTCGCTGACTAATGACTCAACGTCCGTGGTTTTTAGATGAATAAACGATAGGGTCGAAATTGTGTTTTGCTTGGCTATCTTTTCCAATCGGTCTTATAGATACACGAATGAACTCAAGCTAAACGCTGTGCGGGAGCGCAATGCAAAGTACTCAGTTACCAACATCCAAGTGACTGTAGTTGACCATCTTGGCGCGAAAATACTGTTAGATTTAAAATAAACACACTTTCGCGAGCTCTTCGTGGTGATCACTATCATCACACTCAGTGTCTGTAGTCCAGCTATTAATAAACAGATGAGTTTGAAGTTCTCCCCAAAATAACCCGTCAAACTCTGACTGATAAAGAGTCTGCTCTTCACAGCATTTCTCACCGTACACTATGTTTTTTCATCTCTATCTTTTGTTATCAGTACTTACACTGAAGCACATTGATTTACTTAAAGCCGGTTGTGTTAGACATTAGTAACAGACCTTTACATAACCTTCCGCAGAATTATATGTTCTCCCTTGGACTATGCATTTTTTTTTCTTGAAGTTACATCATCCTCCTAAGGTGTATTTAACTTGTGTAATTCTGGTGTAGTCTGTCAGGACCAATAACAAAATATTTGTTTATTTTGTTACTTGTTCTAATAGACTACGACGGAATAACACAAGCGAAACACACCTAATACGATGATTCATACTAAGTCGGTGCCCAAGTTTTTCCAAACCATTCAGTTGGTGCATTGTTGGTCAGGATACGTCCAAATTCCATCATTCTTCCTTAGAACTCCCTTGTAGTAGATGGGGTAAGACCTACATTCTCTGTCGGTGGCTTTTCTTAGACAGCCGACCATAAGAAGAATGATCAATTAAACTTTTCAGAGAATGTGCAGTCCTCTAGTGTTTTATTCTGAGATGAACGGGTTCAGTCCTAAAAAGATTCCTCCTTTCGAACACGTTCACTGGCGTATTGCTAAAAGTGTGACTGGATTCATATTCGTGATAAAGCATTCCGGCCCAAGTCTGTAAGTTATTAAAGCATTAAGCTTGTATGTGACTACGATTTATTATGTTCCCTGAAATCTCTCGTTCTAATATGCAACTTCGGAACTTCAAAGCGAAACCCACTCAGCCAAGACTTACTTTAGTAGAACTTAAAAAGTTTTGGGCACACCTAAGGATGTGTAGTATCTCGCCCCAAAAACCTAGAGTTTATTCCAGAAATCTTAACAGAAGATAACGGAAAAATTCTGAGACTTCCCCCAAGTTCATAAGTGTGCGCGAGATATGTTTCGGTTATTGCCCAGTGTCGATACTGGCTGGAGTGGGGGCGTATCTTTGAGGATATCTTACAGTGGTTAAACATAAAGGAACTCAAACAAAGGCTGCTGTCAACTCTTTCATTAAGCCGGATAATATGTCACGTATGGTATTCCCTTCCCAAGCATGTATAGCCAAACCGGGGGGTGAGTATCCATCTTTAACTGAGTAGGAACGAGGTTGCCTATTCTCGACGTGGGCGCTTTTCATACAGCCCTTAGAATACTAACCATGACACTAATTCCTTACTCATAATGTCTTGTTTTTCTCCGCAGAACCTAATGGAGAAGTGAATAGCAAGCTAAATATCATTTTCCAGCATCTCATCACCACAACTCACGAAACCTTCATGTCTGGGAATCACAAAGATTTGAAAAAAGAGTTGACAGATTTTCGCAAATACCAAGTAGAATCAGTAACAAAAAGTATGGATGCTGAATGGTAAGTCAATGCTGAACAAAACTGACAGTCAGGAGATAAGTCAAGTGTTCGCTATCTTGAGAATTAATCGCAATTTCTTCTTAATTTTACCTCTACTATGTATTTCTCTACACTTATGTTACTAATGTTGCCTTTCCAGCAATTCTCCACATGATTCCGAGATTGAAGCCAACCACCATGAAGTGGTTGATAATTGTGAGGATGTGGGATTGGAACCGAAACTCGTCAGCAGCATATGCGATTCTGGTTGTGAAAATCTGTTAAATATACAGAAACGGGCTATCGAAGCATGTATTGCTGCCTGTGATATTATCGTCCAGGGTCAGTGTGACACGGAGAAGACAATTACATTAGTCGTATGCATCTTGCAAATGGTAGATGTTACTTCTGACATATGCCAGGCTCTTCTTTTGACCCCAACCCGAGAACTGGCGAAACAAATTGAAGCGGTATTGTTCTGTTTCACCTTAACAAATATCTTTTCAGACTGTCCAACACATCGGTGCTTGTCTTAGTGTGAGGTGTTATATGTGTATCGGAGGAACAAGCATTTCTGATATGGCTCGTTGTGGGCACACCTGGTCGTGTTAGTGATATGATGAAGCGTGGGTGTTCTGATAACCACTGGAATCAAAATTTTTGTGCTGATTGAAGCAGATGAGATGCTAGATCGTAGTTTTAAACCACAAACTATAGAAATACATCAGCACCTGCTTGAAAATACTCAGGTAAACATTTTTCGACGTTACTGTCTCAAATAATAGGTCATGCTGCTGTCTGCTACTATGTCAAAGGAAATTTTGTCTACTGCACAAAGTATAGTGAATGATTGTTCTCCAATAGTGATTAAAAATGATGAATCGCTTTTAAATGGGACTAAACAGTTTTACATAATTGTGGTGAGTAAAGCAATAAAATTGGATCTTCTAATCAAAGTACTTCATAAAATGAATGGGAAGCAAATTGTCGTTTTCATGCATTCTGTTAGAAAAGCTTTAAATGTATACAGAAAACTAGTCGGCTTACGATTTTCAGTGTCATGCGTCGTAATTTCTCTTACTGAAAGTATTCAACTTAAAACTCTTTTAGTATAACAGGATGAATCGAGAAGAACGTAGGCGTATAATGAATGAGTATCGTAGTGGGAAAGTACCTATTTTATTATCAACTTATCCTCTGGCAAGGGGTATCAATGTACCACAAGTTTCAGTGATTGTCAACTACGAATTATCTTGTAGTTATAAAAAGTACGTTCACAGGTCGGTTACTTCTAACATGTTATAATGTTTTTATATACAGAATCAGTAGAGGGCACAATTGTGGTGATATGAGGAAAGCTATTAGTTTTATTACCGAGTCAGAAATAGAAGTTGTTAAAGATTATCAGCAGTATCTAAACACAGAAATTCTTGAGTTAACCAATGGGATAGATGAATTTTTGCAGCAACTCTAAAGTTTTAACAGAAATTGTAAAAAAACTCATTTTATTTTCATAACAAAAGTATAAGCCACCTTTGAAGGCACCTTTTCTGTGTTAATATTCCCTCATCTGATGTACTTTTTAGATGTAAATGTCTATGAGAATTACTCTTCTTAATCCGTCAACTTTTTCTCTTCATTTATTACAATTATTATTATTATTACTTATTAGTCCCTTGGGTTCCTAGTGGGACATAGGGCTTCACTAGCACGTCTGCAGTGACCTCTGTTCTCTGAGATCTTTTGAACCTGGTTCCACGACAGCCCAGAAACTCTCATTTCTTCCTCGCACGACCTCTTCCATGTCACACTCGAACGTCCAACTCGTCGCTTCCCATGGGGATTCCACTCGAGGGCCTGACGCGTGATGTCCCCAGTCGGCCTTCTCAGTGCATGCCCAATCCATCCATGATCCTGGAGGAGATTGGTTCCCACTGCATGAGAGCCTTCGACGCTCTTGGAGACATCATGATAGCCACTCCATAACTCAGTGTGCTCGTGGTTGTCGTCTGGGTGACAACATCGGAGTAGATTATTGATTCTCCAGTTGACAGTTTGGAAAGTCCACTCCCATTCCATCTGCTTTCGCAAATTCCTAGCACTTCAGTGTGATACCTCCTCATCCCTTTTGCAATCTTGGCCGCCTTGCTGGGTTCAAACATCGTGCGGACATTCCATGTCCCCACGTTTACTTTCGCTTTCATCTAGGGAGAGAAGACACATCGGCCAATTGGCTTCCCGAAGGCAGGCTTTCACCAACTGGCATCATTTCGCCTCTCCGATTCCAGCGAGGAATAATTTTGTTTTTATTTTTTACATTTTGTTTGTGCTTTGAAGTCTCTTTGGCGGTTATATTTGTTTTACGGGGTAGGGTTGCTAGCCCTATGTCCAACCTTCCCTCTTTACCCGGGCTTAGGACCGGCTAGTAACTAGTGAACTAGTTAACCAGGCGAGGTTATTCATTACAATAAAAGTAGAATTTATTAAACAGTATAGATAACAATGAGTTTTTCTTATATCGTATCAGAACTTGAGTTAAGCAGAAGGGTATCTTGATGAATAACTTCTGTATTTTGTGCTATCGAAACAGCAACAATGGTTGTTCCCTATAATTTTGTTTTCTTCATCACTTAATCTTGACCAACGCTAACTTGAAGAAAACGGCTTCTGACTTCATGCCAACGATTAACACATAGATCATACTCCTATGATCTATATTAGAGGTATCAATTGCACTGCATGGTGCATATTAGAGATGGTGCTACTAAGCTGTTCAACATTACAGATTACACGAAAAAGAATCTGTTTGACCTACACCATGTCTTGGACTTAAGGGGTTCGTATTCATACAATACCTAAATGGAAATGGGAAATAACAAACTCGAGATATACAGGTTTCTGATAAGAATGAATGTGAATCGAGCAGCGCACTTACAAGTGCCTGTTGTGATAGTTTAACTAGGAATGGAATGTCGAGGGAGTATATTGTTACTAACCAAGGCTTCCCACTCGTACTCACGTAGCCATGTCTAGACTTACGAAGTATGCGCCGAGAATGTGTACTGCTGTCAGTTTATTCTTGTTCTATATATGCCGATAGACATGGTCGTACGTCCCCTTGGAGTCAAGTCGATTGACATACTTTCTGGGGCGTGCGTGACTCAATTAAAGTATACAGATGACATATTCCTGTTAGGTAAAGACGATGACAAAATGCGGAATATCTTTGATGCTGTTGTTTTCTTTGAGCTGAACAGTTTAGTCGGGAAGCTGTTATTGTCGTTTTAGGAAACATCCCCAGACCGCACTACAGAAAAAAGCGGACTAAGCGAAATTCTCAAGTGGCCTGTCCTGGTTATAACTAGTCCCCTTTTGCTATAACGTGTTCATTTCTGCCACGCGTGTTCTAATTGGCTGTCTCATTGACTTGAACTCAGATCTTACATTCCTTATTGGTTCAATCTCAATATCCCTAAGCTTGAGTAATGACTTCAGTGCCAAGCTCCAAAAATTTCTGTGGTATTATTTGTATTTCTGTATTCAAGATTTTGCCGTTTTCCCATTTTATTGGGGACAAATTGTCACACCAACGGTCGTCGGGATAGCCGACTAAAGTTCTTTTTGGAAAATTGGTCACACCACTCTATTCGGAAGTTTGTGCTTGTATTGTATAGAATGATAATGCAAGCTTTATAATTCAACTGTTAAACTCAAAGGACAGTTCGCCACCGAAATCATATTCCTGAGCTGTAAATATTCTTCATTAGATCGCAGCCTGAACATGTTTCTCAGTTTTCAAATATTAAACTCCTTTAGGACTGGTCTGTACCGACTATTGTTTATAGGATACGGAGTGGAGTGTGTTGACCGATTCACTTATTTGTGAAACTGAGTCAGTCATAATGGACTGGTCGGTCGTAATATTTTAGCGCAAGAGAAATATTTCTTTGCTATTTGTCAGCTTAGATCACCTGCCATCGAAATACCCGATTGTACATCGATGGACGAGCGAATTGCGCAGCGATCCTACCTACCTGTGAGAAATAGTCATATGCTGCCTCGGGGGGGAGGCAAGTTTATAAAGTTGCAGATGTTCGCCGACCGGGGTGACATACATTTGTTACATAACGAGTTAATACCTAGATCGAAGAATAAAATGGGATACTAAAGCATGAAGAATGTTTGGAATGTGTTTCTCACCACCCAAATGCAAATTCTTGCTCCAGGACTGGTCTTCAACGGTGCCTCGGCTAACAATTGAGAGTGTAGTGGTTGAGTGTGTCGACCACTTCACTTACCTGCGAAGCAGGTTCAGCCGCAGTGGCTCAGTGGCAGAGGAAATTTCTGCACGAACACAAAAGGCTCGGCCGGCTTTTGCCAACTTACCCTAACCTGTGTCACCGCCGTGATATCCGATTCTCTACTAAGGGTAGCGTGTACTGCACCTCAGTTCGCTCTCTTCTACCGTATAGCTGTGAAACATGACCATTAAATGTAGGAGACATGAAAAGGCTTCAGGTGTTTGACCATCGTTACCTTCATAGTATAGGCCGTATCCCGTGGCATCACCACGTGGGTAACGCAGAAGTCAAGCGCAGAGTTTTAGGGAGAAGAGATAAGTCAGTTGATGAGGTTGTGGATGTTCATCGACTGAGTTAACTGGCTGGGACATGTGTTACGTAGGCCAAGTCACCGTCTGTCTCGTTGCAGAACGTTGGCTGAAGTACATCCAGGCTGTAAAGAGGCCCGGGGCGACCAGACTAAAATATGGCATCAGTGTATAAAGTCGTTGACTTTCGGTTTGAGCCATGTGGGGAGATGCAGACTAGCCGGTTGGGGTCCACGGAACAAGAAAAACCAGTGGTTGGGGCCTGACTCTAAGTGACATGGCCAAGAACCGATGTCAACAGCAAAGATGTATACGTACATTATCCTCATCTTAACGGTATACCGAATCTCACCATTTTCTCATGCTTCCTTTCTCTCTTTTAGTACTTTATATTTTTTTGACCGAATTTTCTTTTCATCTTCCACTTCACTGCCTTTTTACTTGATTCAGTGATATGAGGTGTAGCAACTCGGACCGTTACACGGTAATGCTTGGTTCTGTGCTGACTTGGATGGATGAAGACTTCTATATTTTTGAAATCAATAGCTAACGACTTGGTGACCTAGCTGGAAAGAGATTACAGTCAGCAAGACTCACCTGCAACTTTAAGGAAGTTCATGTTTCTGAAGAGACTTCCAACAGCACATTCCTGTGCTGAGGTGAGAAAACTTAGCACTGAGTTGTGAATGGCTTCACTCTCTGTAGAGATCTCATGAAAATTGATTGTCATACAAGTCAAGTGAATTTCACTGTTGATTCGAGAAAACTTCAGTATTCTACCAAGGTTATCCGTTCTGAGGCGTTTTAGACTACGTATACCAGATTATGCCATTATAATAACCTAGGACAAAGTGCAACTACTGCATATGCAAACTATTTCCATTATTCAACCTTCTATTCGATCAGTACATGACTCACTACAAGTATGTTCGAAACATAAAAACTGGTGAGCTGGATTAGTACGAGTTATCTTGCTGGCTACTTTTTTCGACAGGGATGTTTAGTGTGATTTTAATGGCTGAAGTGGCAGTTTTCTTGAGTTAACTTCTAAATATGGTTTACAAACGTTTGTTTAAAGACAATACATAATTTAGGGTTTTACTAAAAAGACTTCGTAAGACAGCTGATAACTATCTAATTGGCACCACAATTGATTAATACTTGAGAATGTGAAATCAGTCTTGATTTGAAGCTACTGATATTCTAACTATCAACAACTCCTTGAAGACCCTTCAGTCGAATCAAGTAACATTTTAAGTGCGTCATTTTGTGCAAAAAAATTGTTTACCACGCGTAACTAACCTACTTGGGGCTGTACATACAGAACGTACATTGGTTATCGCCTGCGGCATGACCGTTTGTCACAGAAATAGCATGAAGAAACTCGAAGGAAAAGAAACCACTGTTCAGTGATGTTATTGTCCAAATATACAACCCCATATAAATGTCACACAATAGGTTCAAACTAACTTCCACTTATCCAGTGCTTCGATTATGCGTAAACGATAAGCTACCTCACTTAACCATCACCATATGTATTTATCAAGTCACTTGATCCTGTGAAGTAAGATATGTTAGCAGTGCTCAACATTTGCTATCCAAACGTATCTTCAAGTATTTACTAGCTTAGACAACTGCCCGTAACTCGACCCCAAAACATTTGGTTCATTCTTGGTAAATGCAAAGAACAACTAGTGTCATCTATAGGGTTCATAAAAGTGGAGTGGTGCCTTATTGGCTTAAGCACTCAAACTTCAAGCAATGGGCAATGACCCCACACAGCCTGGGCAACAGTGAAGTATTATAACCCTTTCCAGAAATAGGCAACTCATAGACTAGTAAATTAAACATGTATTGAGTATGTTGTATAAAATGGTGGCGGAAAGTAGGAGATATGGGGAGGTTACAAGTTCTTGGCCGTAATTGCTTTCGTATCATTGTCGGCATCCAGTTGATGCACCCTATGAAATATATCTAGGTTACTAAGCAAATCAGTCGGCAAAAGTGTGAGCCTTTAGCGATTGAACTGACTTGCAGACATATTGCACCGCCTACGTCAGTGTGGTGTCAGCGGGAATAGGAGTTGGCTGGACGAAAGGTATGGTACCAGTCCTTGAAGTCTAAGTGTTAGTCTAGACGACGTAAGGTGTAGACTGCCTGGTTTGGATTGTTAAGACGATAGGAATCAATACTTGGAGACTTGGTCAGGCTGAAAGTCGATCATAGCGGAACAGACACACTCATCTTGTCATGTTCAAAGTCTTGGATATTTTCATTAACCATCCGATATTCATTCTGGCTCATACTATACACTTTTCCCACCACAGTATTGCGTATCACTATGCTTCCTCTTTTCACGTTGTCAAGTGTGGCAACTTGAAACATTGAGCCTCTATTCAAGGTTCTGCACTGACTTGCTTGTCGTCAAAGACGTACACTCAAACTGTAAAGTCAAGTAGCTATCCCAATGAGTCACTTTCTAGCACTGATCAAAGTGCATATACGTGCAAACAGATCAAGTCTCAAGGTTTTGATTAGTCTATTGTAAGCATAAAAACAGATTGAGTCACCAATCTTGTGCCACTAAAGTAACTGCAACTCCCAAAATTACTGGTGAGATTTTCCCAGTTTACACTTCCGATTTCTGTTATAATTAACGATAATAATCACTTTGTTCCGAGAAAATCTCGGCACGGTTTACATTTTAAAGGATGTAATATTGCAACAAAAATATATACTCCTTTACATTTTGCATAACGTAATTATAACTAGTTATGTCAATAATATTAGTAACGAGGAAAGTTTTATGCTGTTGACTGAAATGTTGGAAAACTGACTATTTGTTGTCACAAAGTTGATAAATTAGTTTTGTTCTAACACTTTTCTCCTGACAAAAGATGAGTGCTAGGTAAGGTACAGTTGAATTCTTATATTTAGCCGTACGACGATAGTCTTATATATTTTCTTCCTTGCGGACAAGTTAGATTGTACCTGATCCTCTCAGTACATTCAAGATCGACAGTTGTCGATGCGACCTTTCCCTATTCCAAAACATTACAGATCATCTGAAGATATGATCGGAAGTACAGATATCTGGAAATTTGTTCTTCCTGCCGAGCTGTAAACAAGGGAGGCTTTTTAGAGGACATACTATATTTGCCTTGTGTTAATACTTCCAAAGTAAGCATATATTCCTGAAGTATCACCAGCTGCAGGAATTATTACAATCCACCGGTCCATTATCTTTACCCCTGATGACTGGCAGGTGCACCTGTAGTAGTATGATAAGTTCCCAGCTATATTTACCAATGAACAGAAGCACTTAAAGTGTGTCGTATGATTTATTGCTGTACATGAAAGTCGTTGGCTTTTTCAGCCGAATTCTAGTGACCCTACACGTACAAGCGAATGTATTATTAGACGCTCGTCAATGAGAAATCTGCATAAAAAACAATAGTACACTTCACTTTATAAGGTCTAACTTGTATTTTTCCCAACAGCTAAAATGAATCTCACCTACAGTAGATAAGAAAAAGTTTAGTGTCACAAAAAGATTCATCTGGTGAAGACCAGCTTCTGTGTGTCCAGTTTTTAGTTGTTTGCGATGTTGTAGGGAAAGAAATAGTTAAATATGCACATCTTCCTTTAAACTGGAGCTGATCTAAGAAAGGAATAAGGATCATGGAACACTGAAAACCTACTTTTCGCAGGCTGTTTGTTTCAAAACATTTACAATCAACAAAGTCTACCCTAGACCTCTGGGTGCAGGTCCTCTTGTCCCAAGGAACGTATGACTGAATCATCATGATATTGTTGCATGTACTCTTCTTTGATTGTTTCGATGTTACTTAGGAGATTCGGACTAGTAAAAAAGTCTGAAGGCTTCAGTTTGTGAACAACTATCTTACCGACGAAATGCTCCCTAGCATCCTCAGGTTGCTTTGTTAAGATATCTCTGCTAAAATATAAAAGATAGATATTAGTTTACCTTAAAAACGCTGTTATCATATATTTCACCTCTGGATGTCTCCGTAAATACTGCTCGTTGCTTAATCGTGTTTGAGTCTAACAAAATAAAGTCTTATTCAGACCAAACCTTAAGTTGATTTGTTGCTGCTTGTTGTGCATTACTGAGAGCTCCCAGATCCTTATCTCCACCGAGATCATATGGCTCCATTGAAGCTGGAGGATCATGTTTAGGAGGTGCAGATCCTGTATCGAACATAACCTTGAAGCTAAACAGCCCGGAGTTACATCTGTTTATCACTGCGATGTATTCTAACTAGCGTAAAAGTGACATTACATGGCTTCAAATATTTGTTAGAGAAACAGAAGCCTCTATGTTTATAGCCGTCGTGCTCAGAGGCAGTGAACAACATTTTCTTCTGGTTTTTAATACATTTACAAGTAAAAAAAAGAGATCTTGGCTAAAATAGGATGAGCATTTTAGTTCGAACTTCATGTCGCATAAATGGCGAACAATAGTTCCTTGGTTTCTACATCTTTTTAATGTAATGCGGTCTTCATTTAAAGTGGCAAGTCGTTTCCCAGCCCAGAGAAACGCTAATTGCGTTTTTCGAAAGGTATTCTATCTTTTCACCAGCTAGCGTAAGCCAGTTGATTTCTTCACACTTGCTTCTAGGTCTTGCCGGATGGTTCCAGGTCTTCGGTGGATTCTGGTGCCATAGGTCCACCCAATAGCCTGCTGTAGCTCTGGTTAGCCGGAGGTGCGGTTGTGTTTTTGTTACATTTTATGGGATTGTGTGGTTTCCTCAGGGACTGTGGTGCAAATGGGTTCCCTAAGTGTCATGCCAAGAGATAGCTGGTTGGACTGGTTATGAATAGAAGATAGAAAATATGCTCAGGGGAATCAAGAGAGAAGGTGCGAAGAAAAAGGACCAAAAATACGAGATGAAAGGAAACAGAACGGAAGAAGAAACCCTGGTAGATGAGAGTGGTAGGGAGAGATTTTATCAGTTAATGCAGGCACACAGAATCACTCGGAAGCGAAGAAGCAAGTAACGCCTTATTGGAATAGAGATAGTAATATTATTAGTAGACGGTAACTGGAGACGTCTACATGGAGGCATAGGGTCCGGACAGGTCCCCGATGGTAGTTGCGACACTAAAGGTTTGATAATGGGTTGGCCGTACTGATGTGTGCGGAGTTAGTGGGTTGTATCAGCCTGGTTCATATCCCAGCTGGATGAGCTGAAACCGTGCACAAATTTCTAGCCTTTTCTTGTAGTTATCAGCGGTCGGAGCAGTAGCCACCTCGGCGGGCAGTGCGTTACGGTGGCCGCAAACTCGCAGAGATGAGTATGAACGCATACGGATTTTCACCCTCTGACGACCAGTCCTCCTTTGGTTACCACGAGGATCGCTAAAGTGGCCGTTCTATAGGATTCCACTGCTCGGACGACACCCTCTGTCACCTGCCTCTGGACTTTCTCCAGGAGGTTCAGATAGCTTTTCAGATATGATTGTGCAGTGATGTTGTGGACCTCCAAGTGAGGTCACACGTAGGTTATGTACGGCTTCAGAAAGAGTTCCGGAGTCAGGGCACCTACTTGTCTGCTCTTGAAGTGTAGTACTGCATAGGGTCTGGAGGCACCTGCTGGATAATTAGGGCTCGTGTTTAGCTTGTCGGTGAGTGTTAGTCCTGGGTCTTCCTCTGTGGTGGTGTGAGAAAGTTGTGTTCTGTAGAGAGAATAGGGTACTTTCTGAGAGTCACGGGTGGGAAGACATGGTTCGGCACATATCCAGACTAAATGGTAGTCCGTTATTATCCACCCCCTCTGTAAACAGTCTGAGATCACTTCGCAGTGTTCTTGATTCTGCTTCGGATCCCTAGGCTCTCCATAACTTAACATGGAGGATGAGATTCAGTGGAGAGTCATTCATAAAAGGAAGGGATATAAGAGAACTCAGAACGGCTCCTTTTGATACACCAGATGATGATGTCCTCTAAGTCGAGCAAACCCTGTCGACCTTCGCGCAGAATTCTCTGCTGTCTGACTAGTCCTGTGGCCAGGAGAGCACTTGGCCGCTGATACCCAGCCGTGACATCTTGCAAGTGAGGGTGGTATGCGGAACTGTGCTAAAGGCTCTGGTGAAATCCAGGAAAAAAGCACGAACGGGAATTTGGAGGTCACAGAATACTGTCAACTCATCACCGACCGCCAGAAGGCTTGGGGTGCGCTCTGGGCACCACTTGGTGCCCCCCTCTTTTCCAAGTATTCCCTGACATGGTCGTCCACCAGGCTGTCTTCTACCTTTGGAGATTAGGCGGTAAATTTGAACCTATACGCTTCTTTTTCACTTGGTTCTCGATCATATCAGCTTGCGAATTTCCTGTTATGTCCGACTGCTTACTATCGTATTTCAATCTATCCCTAATATTTGGTTTGCGGCTCCGCCACTCTCCTCACATGCTGTTGCCAACGTTTCGGCATAATACCTACAACCGTTTGCTGTTCTATTTCGACGCTAAGTTTCGATTTTAACGCTTTTTTAGTGGGGAAATCCAAATCCAAACATTCTAAAATTGACTGCTCCGGTGAGAAAAAGCAGAGATTCAATCATCCTAATTCTCTTCTGCGTGGCAGAAGCAATGTTGCTCCGTAAGCCCCAGATCTCGATGAACTGGTATGCCGCACGCCTTTTGTCGGAACTGAAGACATCACATCAGTCATAAGCCGCAGTATTAACACCACAGGAAATAGAGGGATAATACTAGGACTATGATGGAGGGGATCCCGAGAATAGTTGAGGATTTCCATCCATTAGCATATCTTCTTGAAAAGCATGAAAACTTAGTTGAAGACCGTATGCAGAAAGCAGAAAACTTAATAGACCCTTTGGCAACGGGGGTAATGAAGAGACCATCGTCGTCCCAACAAGCTATAGTTTATAATAAACCTGGTACCCCACCCTTGGATGCAGTTAAGACGGAGGCGTTTAACTCATATGGTATGACAGGAATACACTACGACTCTAAGTACCTTCGCAAAAAGTCAGCGCAGTCCAGCTGCCGCATGATTTTCAAGTTCACTACTTCATTTGATGCCAAAAGGTTTATTAAACTACAGGACCACATAAGGCTACGTAGCAACTTCAAAAACACTGCTATTGCACAAGACAAAACCGTGTGCCAACGCAGAAAGCAAAAAAGAAGTAGTCTAACCAGTTCATCACCTTTGAACATGGGGCTTCTGTGTACACAAACAGACCATCAGAAAGTGCTGACATAGTCAGTAATTCTGTTGAATGCACCTCCGTACAACGGTCTCAATCAAGTCGAGCTACAAGTGAACCTGATCCTTCAGTTGCTCGCACAAAGAAAACTATTTGTACCTTCCCCCCAAGGTCACCATAAATGGAGGCCCGCTGGGTGACAGAAAACTTAGACGCTCAGGGGAAACCTCACCAGATAAAGCTAAAACGTTCTTGAAGAAGGGCAATTTCAGGCGCGTATTTCTAATGACGGAGAGAAATATTTCATAGCTAATACGCTGCCAATACGCAAACCCAAAAGGCAGGTTTTCCGTCAAACTTTTTCTTTCAAAGGTGAATACCGTAACAACCTGAGGTTGCATCGCATGAGAGACCCCCTCGAACCACGCTTCTTTAACCACGGGCGTCATAACGAGTAGCGAACCGAACGCTCAAGTGTCCTGCACATCACAAATACCTAACTATTGTTCAGCTGTGCATCCCAGTAATCCTGGTCAATACCTTGGGAACAGATTTACACCCTCTACCAGAAACTTCCTTACTTATGAACCCCACCAAATTTTTTTCCGATCACGCATGATACGTGCGACCCATAGTGTTTAGGATAGTTCGACCCCCCGATAACACACGGCTAAAACCGATTTTCTCGACCTACACCAGTCACAAACCATACCTTGCGCCAACAGTAAAGAAGAAGTGCACGTTGACAACCTATAAGTACCGTCAAGACCTGAGCGGTCACATACTTGTGAGAGACGGAAACCCACCAGCCACACCGGTACACCCCACTATGGAGTCTCGTCACGTCCGAAACATAGGTAGTGCATCGTCCAGCGAACTAACTACCGAAAATTCTTCTGCTCACCAAGGCTTAAGAGACATGGTAAGTTACTTTACAAGCTGCGGTAGCCTTTTTACGCTCCTAGTTATTAATCCCCCTGCGTTACTTGAAAAAATATCTGACCAAAGAATAATGGTTTTATTAACAAAACCCACTGCATTATTAGTTGCTGAATCATGGCACACTGACTCAATTCTAGACACGAGCCTGTGTAGACGGTTATACTCTGTATCGCAATAATCGTGATCACAAGCGTGGTGGAGGCCGTTTAATCTGTATGTAGCCTTGCCACCCCAAATAAGACTGGAGGTAATATCTTCAACGATCCGCTGGACTCACTTTGGGTCATTATAAACGGTACCAACTACAGAATCCTCGTGGGCCATGTATAAGGTGCCATGTTTAACAAAAGAAAATGACGAAATGGTGGCTAGATCATCTGGCCACTCTGAGTCCCTCACTGTTGACTCCAAACTGATCGCAGATGATCGCAGCCTCCTTGAAGTTAACTGGGAGTCCGGTCGTTGCCCACAACCGTTTGATGAAATACTTGCCACCATAGATGTCTGTGGCTGGGAGCAATAAGTTCAGAAGCCCACGTGTAAATGTTGTATTCCGGACCTAGTCTTATGCTGTGACATCATCCCTGTCACTATCCACGTTAGTGGTGGATTCTCTAACAATGGCCGCAAGATGGTGTTCTGTTGCCTACCAGTTCTTCCTCCCGATGGGAAAAGCAAGCAATTTTCAAATCATACTCGGCATCTAAGCTACAAGAATATGAAATGGGATTTACTCATCGAGCTCCTCGGGTGCTCTTCATGGGATAACCACTTTACCACAGCCTCATTAACACACACTCTCACTTTTTTACAGAAATGTAGAGCTACGCCTGGATACTGTTGGCCCTGTGAAAACGGTTAAGGTTTATGAGGATACAGGCCCACATATCCCCGAAATATTCCACAACAAACTAAGGAAACTATCGTCACAATACCACTCGTCGAAAGACTTCATGTTACTGCACTCAATTTATGAGATTCGCGAATCTGTTAAGACATTACGTGGAAAACATGCAGTGAACGAAGAGATCGTTGCTCTCAGAGGTGGTCCCAGAATACACAGGTTGGTATCTCTTCTAAGTAAACGTCTGCAGTCATCAAGAAATGTAGCCTGTTTACTACATAATGGAATGGTATACAACA